TGGTGGGTTGGAAAGGTCCTTGAAAGTAAAGAATCTCTTTTGTCTACAGAACCCAAAAACGTTTCCCTGATGAAGAGGTGCGATGCCAAATCCTGTGCATTCCACCCAGAGAGTGACAACATTTGGGAGACCTCTTCCCCCCTTTGTACTGTCACATTGTAATACACACAAGAAAAAAAATGTGTTTGCGCAAATGATTAGCATTCCAATAACTGAACAAACATGATCCTGACAGCGACATTCTCACAGGTTTGCAATTATTAAAATTTTGAATTACATCACATTCACTTATCTAAGTGCCATTTCTGCCATGATAGCCCATGCTATCCATATCACACCCGGGGGTGGGGGGTTGGGGGGTGCTTGAAAGCAAACTTTGCACATTAAAAAAGCTTCTGTATATAATATTTCATTTAAACTTAAAGTGATATTAAAGGCAAAAAATGTTTTCCCTCCCCCCCATGTAAATGTCAGCACTTACATTAAATGGTGTCTCTTTTTCCGATCTTCCTCTTCTTTCCCCATGTTTTCATCTGTCCCTCCAGCGGTGTGACGTCACTCCGATCCAGCGCTGACTCCTCTGTCCCTCCGATCCAGCGCTGACTGCTCTGTCCCTCCCATCCAGCGCTGACTCCTCTGTCCCACCGATCCAGCGCTGACTCCTCTGTCCCTCCGATCCAGCGCTGACTCCTCTGTCCTTCCGATCCAGCGCTGACTCCTCTGTCCCTCCGATCCAGCGCTGACTCCTCTGTCCCTCCGATCCAGCGCTGACTCCTCTGTCCCTCCGATCCAGCGCTGACTCCTCTGTCCCTCCGATCCAGCGCTGACTCCTCTGTCCCTCCGATCCAGCGCTGACTCCTCTGTCCCTCCGATCCAGCGCTGACTCCTCTGTCCCTCCGATCCAGCGCTGACTCCTCTGTCCCTCCCATCCAGCGCTGACTCCTCTGTCCCTCCGATCCAGCGCTGACTCCTCTGTCCCTCCGATCCAGCGCTGACTCCTCTGTCCCTCCCATCCAGCGCTGACTCCTCTGTCCCTCCGATCCAGCGCTGACTCCTCTGTCCCTCCGATCCAGCGCTGACTCCTCTGTCCCTCCCATCCAGCGCTGACTCCTCTGTCCCTCCCATCCAGCGCTGACTCCTCTGTCTCTCCCATCCAGCGCTGACTGCTCTGTCTCTCCGATCCAGCGTTGTCTGCAGGCGGGTGCATGCGTCCATAGACTTACCTTGCGTCTCTGCTCGTCTCCCGGCCGAGAATCGGAACTGCGCTTGCGCCCGCCCCAAGATCCTTTGCGCCCGTACCAGCAGTTCCTGATTCTCGGCGCGGGATCGAGCGGCGATAACGAGGTAAGTTTAAAATGATTTTAAGCGTTTTTTTTTTTTTTTTTTTACACTTCTTGCCTATATACACTGCTTGCTAGCAGTAGATATAAGCAAAAAAACCGGAGGGTTTAGAACCCCTTTAAAGCTGAAGTATAATTCACACATAATACCTTCCCTTGCACCCCCCTTCAGCTGATCAACAATTACAATTTTCCAATCAAATCATTATGGTATGAAAATCGTTTCAGTAAAGTGTTGCATGACAGAATAAACATCAAAGTACCGCAGCACTGAATACTGAAAAATGGCCTGGCCAGGAAGGGGGTGAAACACTATGGCCTTTAAGTGGTTAAAGAAATACTTCTTCTAAGATCACGCTGAAAGTCTTTGCTCTGTCACATCAACATGTCTCATAACAGCGAAACGCACAATTATGCATCATTGGCTCTCTACGCAACCACCATCCTCTCAACACGTTAAAACGGCACCGACATCGCTGATGTGGAAAGAGAGACTTGAGGCCACTCTAGACCCTGATCGCTACGCCGCCAACTTCTTCCGGAAATTGCAACCTTTTATATTACATCATTACACAGGGACGGAGCTATATGCTCTGGTTTATCCGTCCAAACTCACGAAGTGGTACCTTGAGAAAAGACTAGACAAAACCCTAGGACAGATGGAACTACCGGAGGACTATACTCCTGGTTAGCTAAGGTAAAGATAAGCTTAACCACCATACGGAGCTATGCTGATAGGAATGTGTCAAAACATGGAAATTCCCTGTTGTACTAGTTACATAGTTACATAGTATTTGAGGTTGAATAAAGACATTAGTCCATCAAGTCCAACCTATTAGGATCTCATTCTAGGAGTACCCGTACCCCTGTATATTACCTGTACCCCTGTATATTACGGTCCCTTAAGAAATCGTCCAAAAGTTTCTTGAACAATTCCACATTATTTGCTGAAATCACCGCCTGTGGCAGTGAGTTCCAGACCCTAACTGATCTTACTGTGAAGAACCCCTTTCGCCCCTTGTGCTGGAATTTTTTTTTCCACCAATTTTAGGTGGTGGCCTCTAGTTTTTGTAATGGAGTTAATTTTAAACAGTTTATCGCTAATGTTGCTACCACCATTAAACATTTTGTACATGGAAATCATATCCCCCCTTAATCTCCTCACCTCTAATGTGAACATGTTTAAATTTAGTAGCCTCGTCTCGTAGCTCTGGTCCTCCATACCCCTAATTAGTTTGGTTGCCCTTCGCTGGACTTTTTCCAACTCAAGGACATCTTTTCTTAGTACTGGTGACCAGAACTGGACCGCGTACTCCAGATGAGGTCGAACCAATGATCTATAAAGTGGCAAAATTATAGACTTGTCCCTGCAATACATCCCCTTTTTAATACAGGACAAGACCCTGCTAGCTTTGTTTACAGCAGCCTGGCACTGCAAACTACCTTTCAGTTTGTGGTCTACAATGACCCCCAAATCCTTCTCCATTTCTGACTTCCCCAGCGGCATACCCATAATTGTATAACCCATTTGTTTATTTTTAATTCCAAAGTGCATTACTTTGCATTTATCGACATTAAACCTCATCTGCCACATTAATGCCCCTCCCCCTATTTTATCCAGGTCCTCCTGTAATGTTATATGTTGTACTATCTTGCGGTTATGCATTTTAACATGCCATTTTATTTTTCATCTTTCTCTCAGCAAGTGACATGAATATTTGATTTCCTTTTTGTCATTGTGATGTTTATTGGAAAATGAATAAAATGTTTTAAATAAAAAAAAAAAAACATGTCTCATAACTTTCATTTCATGAAAACATAACCCCGGCATCCCTTTAAATCCCTGTACCTCCCTGATGGCTACTGGGAGCTGTAGGCTTTAGCTGTGCAATCTGCTGATCATTTTAATGATGACACTCCATCATAGACCACACAGATTGCACAGCTGCGGTCTGCACCACCCAGCAGCCCGCAGGGACGCACGTCTAAAGGGATGCTGGGGTGACAGGGAAGTGTCCTGCCATACTATGCTGGGGAAGAACAGTACAATGACAGACACCGGCCCTAAAGATCACACTCGCATGACGAGCAGCAAAACGTATTATTGTTAGAGAAAGATAACAGCTGTGAGAGGCGGCCCAGGGACAGTACGGATCAGTTAAAACAGAGTTAAACCATTGCTCATCTCCGCTCTCAACAGAACCTTTAAGGCCTCAAATACTGGTGTCATAGCTGATCACATGTGCAGCATCTTGGCAACTGCACATCCAAATGGGGGCTAAGACGGCGCCATCTTTGGTTGAAAAGCATAGGAGCAGTCCGTACCGCATTGAGTAGCACCATCCCTGCACCCTGTGATTGGGCAATGGAAGGAGAAGCAGCAGACTGATTACTTCATCTCTTTGTCACTCTGTTTTCTCCTCCTAACAGCATGTAAACTGTTAGAACATAATCACTGCAGCACAACTGACTGCCTCCTTATGCTGCTTCTTCCTCCCCCAGTCTGAGCTCTGCACCACAGGGATTGCATTAGGCTGATAACAGGTCAAATTCAGGTACCTGCATTCAAAATAATCATTTACAAACACAAAAGATGCGATTTCATGCCTTTGAGATCTACAGTATCTGAAATGCAGCTCATTCCTGGGCAATATCTGTATGTCCTACATTGAATGATGAGCAGCAGCAGCATTCTCATCTTGTGCTCCAAACAAGTCTGCTTTCAGGCTCATTGCCTGTCTAATTCCTTGTCAAGGGGACCTCCCTGTACGCAATACCCTCAACAACCCCAAGAAGATTCGTCAGTGATCCTCAGGGCCATCCTCCTAATGAGGCAGCCTGAGCCGTTTGCCTCAGGCGTCATCTTATTGGAGGGCAGCCACAGCGTCCCAAGTTGCTAAGAGATTCCCGCCCCGCTCACTGATGTCACCGTTTTCCAGGAGCGGAGCAGGGCCCTCTGCCTGGTATCCCGCCGAGCTCCTGGCAACCAGTGATTTTAGAGAGCTAGGCAGGATGCCATAGAGAGCCACTGACGATGTAGTCCGGCTTCCGTCACCCCTTCCCTGAACACAAATCAGCGGTGAACTTTTCTGCCAGCAACCCCCCCTCCCCCGACATTTGGACGACATCACCTCAGGCAGCAAAGAACTTCCGGACAGCCCTGTTGACCTAGCTGACGTCACTGAGTTAATGACAACAGCACAGTGGCAGGTCTTTTACAAATGACTTACTCATACCTCCTGGCCTATAATTATCTCTGTCGTTATCTCTGTCCAGCTCCGCTCACTGCTGCTCGGCTCCACCCAACCCCAGTACTCTGAAAACACCATCACCACCCCAATCTCATCCATCACAATTGAAAAAGTCCAATTGCATCATGGGGCGTATAGATAACTCAGGCTCACTGAAGATCCTGAGGATGAGACATTGGGCGCCTCAATGATCCCTACTCCCAGGAGACATCATCTGCACAGCACCGTCATAGCATGACCACTTCACCAAAAGGAGAACAATTGTGATAAGATTTATACACGTTTGGCTTTTGGTTGGGGAAGGGATGTCATGCCAGAGATGAGCTTTACATGAGAGCACAGGTAGAGACTACAGCACACCGCCCCTTTATAACATATTATTATCCTACCTTCCCGGACTCCGGGGGACTGTGGCCTGGTGGGGGGAAGTCTTCTCAGGCGGTGTTTGGAGAGATGTACCAGCCCACGCGGGGAACTTTTTTTCACAGTCACCGGGGACTTTACCCGGGGCAAGCTCTTCCTGCGCAGGACGTAGCGACTCTTCACAGTCAGAGGAGGTAGAGGGGGGGCCTTCTTCTCTACAGGAGACCTAGAAATACGAGGAGATGAATATAGATGGGTGCAGAAACACATCAGTACAATCACTTCCAACTTAGATATCACAGCACTGACTTGGGATGGATTCTCCCACCAGTGAGGCCCAAGGCAACCCTGGGACAGGAAGTCACAGAGGCCTAGGCAACCCTAGGACAGGAAGTCACAGAGGCCTAGGCAACCCTAGGACAGGAAGTCACAGAGGCCTAAGGCAACCTTAGGACAGGAAGTCACAGAGGCCTAGACAACCCTAGGACAGGAAGTCACAGAGGCCTAGGCAACCCTAGGACAGGAAGTCACAGAGGCCTAAGGCAACCCTAGGACAGGAAGTCACAGAGGCCTAAGGCAACCCTAGGACAGGAAGTCACAGAGGCCTAAGGCAACCCTAGGACAGGAAGTCACAGAGGCCTAGGCAACCCTCGGACAGGAAGTCACAGAGGCCTAAGGCAACCCTAGGACAGGAAGTCACAGAGGCCCAGGCAACCCTAGGACAGGAAGTCACAGAGGCCAAAGGCAACCTTAGGACAGGAAGTCACAGAGGCCTAAGGCAACCCTAGGACAGGAAGTCACAGAGGCCTAAGGCAACCTTAGGACAGGAAGTCACAGAGGCCTA